GCTTGTAATTTGAAATGCACGCATTAACACCTTCTTCATGAGGGATATTAGTATACAATGACGAAACATCAAGTGTAGCCAGAACAGTATTATTAGGTAAATTTGAAATTTGGTTAATTTTGCGGATATATATATATATATATATATATTATATAACGAAAATGAAACAATAGCATACGTTGACATAATGGAGACATAAAATTTTATTCAAGACGAATATTTCGGACATGCCTGTGTCCTTCTTCAGCGTTACACGTTCATACGTGTAAACGCTGAAGAAGGACACAGGCGTGTCCGAAATATTCGTCTTGAATGAAATTTTATGTCTCTATTATGTCAACGTATGCTATCGTTTCATTTTTGTATTTTCTTATATTCATTTATTACTGTCAGACATATGTGGAACCAACTACATCGGATACAACTATATAGGTTTTATTGCATTATTATTTTTAAACAACTTATACAATTTAAGTTAGAAAATACATGTGACATACATACATGTGACATATACCTGTATGTAGCATGTGACAAACAAATTTTCGGTAAAGTCCCCTTCGAAAACACCTAATTTCTAGCTTAACCTAAATTAAATAATTATATTTATACCACTGAGAATTAACTTTGATTTTTGAAAGGAAAGAAATGATTGGACAAAAATGATTGGACGTCATTACAAATTGCAACAACACTAACAGCTGACAGTTTTAAGCTACTTCCTTGTTTTAATCCTGTTCTGTTTTTGAAATTATGTAATTTTATAGGACGGCAACATCTAGCACATTGCAAAACTAAGCGTAATAATATTTATTATTATTATTATTATTATTATTATTATTATTATTATTATTATTATTATCATTATTATTATTATTATTATTGATAATATTATTATCATTATTATTATTATCATTAATTATTAATTATTATTTTATTAATAATTATTATTTATTATTATATTATTTATATTATTATTATTTATATTATTTGATGATGATTGATACCATTATTATAAGGCCGTATATAATATTTTCTTGTGATTAATGTTATTTTATAATTATATATTATTAGTTTGAATAATAAGATAACTAGTTTTATGAATGTTATTCTGGACAAAATTATTTTATTAAAATTGTTCTTCAATTCTCTTTTTTTAAAAAAAATAATGTCGAACAATTAAGGGGCCTGACTCGGCACCCATCCTCCTCCCCTCTTTAAATCCGCCACTGCTTTTTATAGTAAATCTGAAAACGTGGTGTGGCAATAAATGTTAATTATAAATAATTTTATCTCTAAAATCAATTAAATAAGATTAAAAAAAGACTAGAACACCCCTAAGTGGCCCAGGTTCTAGCCAAAACATGGGGCCTACGCCCCAAGGCTTCCCTTTCCCCATTCATTCCCCTCCACCCTCTCACCACCCTCACTGTCAAGCAGTGATTGGTGCCCTTCTTACTAAATGTTACTTTACCAACATTATTCAAGAATTAAATTGATTATATAAATATACAAACTAGATAAGTAAAATATTAATTAACGTTTTTAATTATCATACCTGGACAGCTATCCCCGCGGGCTAGTGAAAGGCAGGAGAGCAATAAACAGACCGTCCACCAGATCATGGTTGCTGGTTAGTCTTCAAAGTTTGTACAAGCTGACAAAGATTAAACCGAGTTTGAGAAACACCTACGAAATGAGATGACCTGAAACGAAATATTTTGTACAAATAATTCTCCTGCTTCCTTTCTTTGGCTCCGCCCACTTGTTGCTGAGCGCGCTTTACATTCACTAATATCTGACTTCATTAGTAGAAGCCTCTTTGTAAAACACTGGACATGCGAAGTACTACCGTATTTTAAAGACTAGTTTTATTGATTAGCTTTCGTGCACACTGCACTGTTCAGGTGGAGAGTAGGCCTACTGTGTGCACCTAACATGGGTGCGCAAGCGGGGGTCCAGTGCCGTGGGCCAGGAATCGATTAAATAAGCCTTTCAAACCCCTAAATTGTCAAAATTTTCTAGGGAACTCAAAGGAACTGAAAACTTTGATCCTGATATTAATCGTAATCAAGATGAATTAACTGAAAAAAGATATTATATTACAATGTTTTGTTAATGGCAGATGACTTATTCTTTGTTTTAAAAAATATAGGCCATAGGCCAGGTTTTTGTTCTAAAGGAATAGGGCCTACGTTCATATTTATTACTATGGTATTACAATAAAAATATTAAAACAATGTTTTAATTAATTACATTTACGTTACTCACGTATGTCGCCTTTCTTCCAAGTGATGCTGTTACTAGGAACAATACAAATTTTACAGTTTTACTTCGCTACGCGCGCGCGGTGCGCAGTGAAGTTCCTTTCAGTGCCGGTCGACATTTTCAAAATATTTACGATAAAGTAAAGTAGATACACTTTTTAAAATAATTACATGTCTTAATAAAAACATTACAGACATTTTGCAGTTGATGGGATTTCGCGCGCAAAATGTTTTTAGCCAATATTTCCTTTCAGTTGCCAGTCGACATGAGTCAAGTTCCTTTCAAGTCCGTTCAGTTGCTCAAAGTCGACATGAGTCAAGTTCCTTTCAGGTCCGTTCAGTTGCTCAAAGTCGACATGAGTTTAGTTCCGTTCAGTTCCTTCCAGTTGCGCGGAGTGCTCATGTCGACCAGTTGAGTTGAGTTGAGTTGAGTTGAGTTGAGTTGAG